CAAACAGTGAAGCGCGATTTATAATAGCACTTTAGCCTAATTTGAAAAATCCGTCAAACTAGGCCTAATTTGACGAGGCCTTCCCAATATAAGCCTTTTTTACATTGTATTTCCAAAACTAGGCCAACTTCTGACGGAATTCCAAAACTAAGCTAAAGCGCCATTACTATTCGCGCTTTTACTGTTAGGAGCGCAAAAGTGGATGAACAGGAAAATCGCTATTACAAATAGCGACTTTGATTAATAAGTCGCTGTTACGAATAGCGCTTATAGCGTTAGTTTTTTTCCCAATAAAAACGCTGTTCTAAACAGCGCTTTCTACACAAAATTTTGTTACAAAAAAGCTATCTCTAATAGCGATTTTAACAAAAATTTCAGTCCAGAAAAAACACTATTTTTAATAGCGATTTCAGTTAAATGAAAACGCTATTTCTAATAGCGATTTCAGTCCTCATATATACGAAGCCCCCCCCCTTCATTTGCATACGTTTTTCAGAATACGTTTTTCAGACTTTTCAGACTTAGATTTTTCGGCATCTCGCTCTCAGCTCACTCTCCATCTCTCAGCCTCTCCATCTATCAGCCTCTCCATCTCTCACCCTCCTCCATCTCAGCTCGCTCTCGCTCTCTGCTCTCCGGTCTGTGCTCTCACTCTCTGTCTCTGCTCTCTCTCTCTCTCCGTGGTATGACATTAACCCTAATTTTATGTATTTAGTTTTTGTGTTTGTAAATGTGTTTATTTCTTTTTCCCTCGTCGTCAGCTCCATCCCCCACAGCAACGTCCCGATCAACCACTTCGTCATCTTGAGATGCTTCGGCAGTAGTTTGCTCGGCTTGTTGCGCGGCGGCGGCTTCTTCCTCGGCTTCCTTCCTTGCCTCCGTAATGAGCCGGTTTTGGGTAGCATTGGCGTAGGCCTGCATATAGACCGGGATATATGCTGCAGGGGGGTTCACGAACATTTCGGCATCCTGACCAAGGCCAACTTTTTCCACGGCAGCCTTCCAGCCGCACTGGAAAAAGATGTCCTTGGTCGCTTGGACTTGGCGCTCGTAGGTTCTCTCCGCCTGCTTATATCCACGATCCTCTGCCTCATCGACCGCTTTGTCCCTTTCTTCCTTATGGGCGTCGCGCAGCTTTCGCAGCTCGGCGAGATACCGAGCTTTCATCGACTTCACGGCTCGTTGTTTTTCCTCGCTAGCTCGGTCGACTTTTTGGAGCAAGGTATCTCGCTCCGCCACAACTGCTTCTTGCGCGGCCTTGAGTTTTGTTATCTCGCCTTTCTGGGCCTCGTTCTCCGAGATGGCATCGCGCAGGCTCTGCCGCACTTTGATCATCCGGTCGTGGGCCAAGTAGTTCTTTTGCGCGGCCTGAAAACCAGTGAGAGATCGTTAGTACTCGAAAAACCGCACAAAAACCGAGCAAACAGTTTGACATAAACAAATGGAGAATTTACCAGCACTATGGATTTCGCCACCAAGCGGAGGACCTTGAGGTCGGAAAGCTCGTCATGTTTTTTCATATCGGCGGGCAAGATTAACCCCCTGGTCAAATTGAAACCAAGCGAGTAATCTTTGTCCGCGTAGACAGAGTCCTCAGAAGAAACTGCCCGGCCCTGGTATTTGAACTCGGGTGCCCAGACCGGGGGGGTGGCTGGGCCCTTGCCCTTGGATTTGCCGGCCAACGGTTGCTCGGTCCGGGCCCCCGATTCGGTTGAGGCGACCTCAGTTGAATCTTCATCAACGAGGTTTTGCCCGGTCATCTCCTTCCTCGTCCTTTTCTTTGATCGGCCAGCCGGTTGTTCCCTGGCGAGAGCAAGCACAGCTCCTTCTGTTTGCCCGGCTGGGGTGGAAGATGTTCCCCCGGTCGCCTCTGGAGGCTGGGACTCCCCTTCCTCTCCAGTAATCATTGATTTGATCGCCCTTATCTTGGCCATTTCTTGGTCGGCTGTAAGGGGGACGAGTCTGACTGGTGGCAAGTTGGGATCTGGTTCAGGGGATGGCGCACGTAGGAAGTCGGTGACTCTGCTCTTGCGCGGCGCTTGGTAATGGTAGGTTTGGTCGAAACCGAGAAATTTTGATGCCTCCCTCTCCTCGGCTGGATGGCAAAGCAGGACTCTGATGGCCTCTTGGTTGGCCTGGTGGTAGTCCGCTGCTAGGCACTTATCTGCAGAAAGGAGTTAAGTGTTAGACCGGTGCAAAATTATAATAATGAAATACAGAAAGAGGATAGTGCGGTCAGCTGGGCTACTTACCAGCACTGCCAAAATTTTTCCTAATGTACCAGCCCGGTATGGGCGCCTCGGTGTCCTCGTAAGCACCGGACACCCAGAGGAAGTCGTCGTCGTTAGTTTCTTTGTCTGGGTTGCCTTCAATGAGTTTTGCTCGGACCTTCTTGACTTTGAGGTACCAGCAAAGCCCACTCTTATTTCTACTTAGGCTATATTGGTGGAAATTTCTGCAAGACCGAGATTTAAACCGAGCCTCCGGTTCAGCTCGGCCACGCCGTTTATTATTTTGTATGTGTTATTTGAAACTTGGGTCGGGCAAAGCCTCGTCTGCCTCAAAAATTCGTAGATCAAAGGTTGCACGGGGAAGCGAAGCCCTCCTTCAACAATGGAAACGACCGTGAAGGGGCACCGGTCTAAGTTGCCCCATGGTGTGTCTCCTTTTTTGGCGAGTTCTAAGATGACGTCATCAGGAACGTTGTACTCCCTTATAAATTCGGCCATCGCGCCAGGCGAGCTTACCATAAATCGGTACTTCCCCATTATCTCGGTTCTATTTGGTTTAGTGTGTATCCCGGTCAAATATGCTGGTTTATTTGCTCGGACTTTGAGCTCCACCAGTGGTAACGTTGAAAGGCTTGGTTGGTCCTAGTTTGTTCTGCATTGATTAAGAAAGAATTTCAAGGGTTAGCACGGCATAAACTGCACGGCTCACGCTGGATTTTTTAGCTTGGTGAATGTTTTTGGGTTTTTGGGTTTTTGGTCGGTCTATCCCTATCTCGGCTGGACGGCACGGCTGATTTAGCCTTCCTGGTCTGGCTCTGATTTTATCTTTGGTTTAGTCAAGGCAAGTTTTAGCCCGGTTAGACCTATTTGTCAATTTCATTAAGCATTTAGCTCGGTTACGGCCTTAGCGGGCAGCCACAAACCATTTTTGCTCGGTTTAAACTCTCTCTACGGATTTAAATGAGCATTTAGCTCAGTTTTTGAACAGTGTTCATCCTGTTCATCTCGTTTATCCTATGCTCAAGGCTCATTCGTTCAAACTATGGGGAAACAGGGGCACGAAAGCCCCCTCCATTCCACCAGTTCCAGTTTTCCTAAGGTATGGCACTATTAGACTAAAAAGAAGGAACCTTAAAGGTCCCAGGCAGGGAATACCAAGCACAGTGGCAGAAAAACACAGAGAACAGGGAGAACTGGAAAACGGGAGCAGAAAATACAAGGGAGGGGCAGTGTGACTTACCGAAAATGAATAAGAAGTGAGTTAGGCCTCGAGAGCTCGACTGCAACGTCAGGAATGGCAGACACAGCAAGGGGCAGCAACGGTTGGGAGCTTGGAGCGATGGGAGGCTAGGGTTTGGAGCTCTGGAAGAAGATGGAGAGTGAAGGGTTCGAATGACCCTTGGTCTGTGCATAAAAAGGGGGGAAACCAACCAAACGGCGCAGCCGTTTGAATTCTGCGCGTGCAGAACAGCTGGCTGCACGACCCAATGGCGTGAAGCCACGTGGCACTGGAAACGCGGCTGTCAGTACGGCTGTACGGCTGAACGACCCTTGACAAGACTGTCGACATGATGGCCGGCCAAAAGGGATAGCTCGGCGCCAGATATTTCCCCATGATGCTCGGCTTGGTAATGGCGCAATTCAACCGATTAGCTCGGTCACAGAGGTGAACCCAATCACGATAGCTCGGATGGGTTTAAGGGGCAATTGAGAGGGGAGATTTGCACTTGACTGTATGGCCGAGCTGAGATAACATCAGACGTGACGGACCGCGTAGCGCCGAGCTAATCTCTGTTGACATAGCCAGCGGCCTGCCTTGCACGGTCGGAAATATTGACCGGTCAGGCACCAACTGCCATAGCTGAGTTGCGTCTTCAACGTGTTGGACGGAGCTTGGGTTAGCGGATGCTGACCGGGCTAAAAGGTAGCCCGAGCCGGTCCGTGGGCGCGATCAAGGCCGGTGCACCTTGGATCGGTCAGTCGATATAAAGTGGCTTCGTATGACCAAGATTGAAGGTAGACCGGTTGGAGGCCGGCATGCCTCGCAACCGGATGGTCATGATGAACTGGCCAATGATAGTTCGGCCGAGGTGGGCAGGCTTTCGCCTGATTCCAAGTTATAGGTCGGCGACACATAGCTCGGTTATGAGCATGTAATAGCGACTCGCCACAAGTGACAGGCCGGTCGTGGTACTCCGGTTAAGTATGCCACCTGGGCCAATGGCGTGAAGGAGAGGACATCCGCTCCACGCACGCCTCAGTACCGTTGGGCAGTTCTATGTGTACTGGAGGGAGGACTGAGCCTTTACACGCGTAAGGCGGTGAGAGGCGAGCACTGCCACCTGTCCAGGGAAGGACAGCAGAGATAGTGCGCGCACAATCTTGAGGCTGCATGGCCAGCCTAGAAATATGGAGGAAGAGGGACGTTGGAAGTAAGCGAATTCATCCTATCAAAAACTCTCTCCCTGATAGCCTTCTTCTTGAGCTAGTGGTCTGACTTGATCGTCAGAGGGTCTTTCCGGCACACCACCGCCGGGCAGCTCACCATTTTTGTGTTGCAGAAATAGACGCCGTTACAAGAAGCTTGACGACCAAGGAGTACGGAGAACAGAGGATATTTCTCCCCCCGTACAATACATATTATGCATCAATTTTATCATTGAAATATCGTCATTTTCTTCCTTGCTGTGTTACATTCCTCTAGTTGCATAACTAGCCTGGTTTAACATAGTATCTCTGGTTTTTGGTTCGGTGCTATGGATTTTCTTGTTCAGAGCAAAGAGGGGAAAACATCAGAAGCTCCTTTAGGCAACCCAAGGTAATAAAGTTCTGTAAACTGGCACCATTTTCAGATATATTTTCTTGTGCATAATCTAACCTCATGCACATCCACAATAGTTTTGTCTTTTGAATCTTTTCAAATTGCAAAAATTTTGCATTTCCAGCTCAGTGACAAGGAAACTTCCATGTTTCTTTGTGTGGAAGTGGATGGAAAGGATGAGGGAACTGGGTAATATGAACCTGAATACATGTCATTTTCTAGATGGCTGAGCTTAGTCAGCTTCAATGACTGCTTTTATAAATAAAATCTTTCTCAACTTTGTTGAATTTCTAGAAAGGGGGATACACAGAAAGTATATTGAAGAAAAATGGAATTTGTATAATCTCATTCATTTCAATTAATTGTGCAATTACAAGAGAGTATATTTATACACAGTGACGGAGACATAACAACCTGTAACTGCCTCCTCCTATAACTAACAATACGGCTGGATTACTAACTAACTCAGTGACTCATCAAGTAACTAACTAATTCTCAACATTACAGTGAGCTCAAGTTGAGTCTTAAGTTGGGTCTTCCGCTGAAGCTTGAGACCGAGAAGGCTGCTGTAGCTTGATCTGCAGCTGCTGAATCCTGTACTGCTAACCATATATTTTCCTGTTCTAGTGATGGGCCTCACTTACAAATGTTGCATACTAACAAAGCATAGAATGTGTTTGTGGATATAAAATGTGAAATTACTAGTGCAAGCTGTTTGCCTGTAGATAATGTACCCTTAATGAGAGAATAAGTCTAATATACATGAATTCTCTGACAAACACATCCTGTCTACCGACTTCATTGTTTGGGTGATCTGTGATTACATGATTATTGCTTTTGTTGGGCATTTTAATGAGCAAATGGACAAAACCGTTTTCATGAGAAGAAACTTTAATCCTACTACCACTAGCTGTCAGCTTGAGTGGCATCTCCTGCCACTCCCAAAGGGAAGGGCCAGGGTTGAACTCCTAGTGTGTCACATTCCTCACCCTACTTACGAGTGAAAAAAGAATTTATCCTACTTCTGGTTGTTTGTTGTAGTTGATGGCTAATTAAATACGCAAGTCAGTTAGAAATTCAGGATTTTTGTTTATTTTCTATTAAGTAAGGTAAGTAAATTAAAATGAACACTGTGTTTGGTAATTATATAACTGGAAATGATTATAGAGGCACCATAATATAGTTTTTCAAGCATTGAGGTTGATGTATCTAGTTTTGTTTTTTATTTTTTATTTCTAGTAAGATTAATTACTTGCTTGAAGCTATGTTACATGGTATGAGTATGTATCTAGTTTTGTTTTTCATTCATTTATTTTTTTCTAGTAAGATTACTTGCTTCAAGTCTCAGGTTCCTAAAATCATTAAAATACTCCTCGTTTTTGAAATCGGATACATAGAGAGAGTCTATTTAGAAATGTGTTAAATCTGAAAAAAGGTACTAATAATGGGTAATGCATTATTTTCATTCTCTCATGTGGACTTTCTTTAGTGTAATGTAATGTAATGCTTGTATTGAGGTCATTGGTTTGTACTGCTACTTTAAATAATTGGTAAATCATTGACCTGTTTTCTGGTTATTTTTTTCTTCTGTGCAGTGCTAGTAATTCTTTCATTGACAATAATGAAAGATGAGACCTTTGCTTCAGATCAGGGAGGGTTTAATAATGATGAAACAAATCCTAGAGTTCAAGAAAGTTCTGATTACCCTAATTATCAGTCTTACATGGACAAAACACCAAGGTCAAGATGGTCAAAACAAGACACAGAATTGTTCTACGAGGTAAATCTTGCTGTAATTTCAAATTCTATTATGTAAAATTCAATTGGAAATAACTGGTTTTGTATCCCAATTTAATAATTGATATAGAAAGGTGAAACTTACAAGTTCCTATCATGGTAGAGCTGAAATTGAATTTTAATTTCAAACTTTGTTTATCAGGTATTAGGCAAGACTGTTTTGGAAACTGTTTGTAATAGTTTTCCTCAAACCCAAATGATTTTGGCAAGTTGCTATCGTTTTGACGTGACTGTCAAACTGAAGAAGAATGTAAATGGATTATTGGCATTGTCAAATAGTTAACTGCTTCTAAGGTCAAGTTTAGTTAAGACCTTAGCTTCAGCCATAAAATCAAGCATGTAGAAAAATCCCGACATGTAACAGCAATTTTATTGATTGCTCAACTATAAATGCACGGCCAATTGCCATCTTTCTTGGGTGTTACTTAAGTAATTGATTTACGGAGTGAGAGGGCCAGAGTTCCTCCATACCGTGTATATATATATATTTTAATTACATATACAAATAATGTATATGCTTTTTAATAATTTGTTGAACTTTTCTACCGCATTAATGCATTGTGACAAAATAACTCCACTTGCTGCTAATGGAATAAATAGAAAATAATATTGTAACAATGAAAAAAAATAGCCAATTGCTCCTCATGTAGTTTTGGACATTTTGCAATTTACCACCCTATTGTTAATAATTCTATCCAAATTGATGGAATTTTTATCACACTTGTCTGAGATGACAGTTGACGAGGAAAAAAAAAATAATCAAAGTCAAAATACAAATATAAAAGGCCAAATTTATGCTTATCTTCGTCTTCTTCCCAAAAACCCTAACCCTAACCCTAACCCTAACCATCTTTTCTAAAAAATATAAATCTGACCCGGAGTTGATAAGCCCAGCCCACACTACACATCTTCTTAAAACCTAGGTATTAAGGAGAGGGAAACAAGAGCCTTATAATTAGCACAGATGGGGCAACTCCAGGCGATATGGGACACATTCCAACACACCCTCTTAGACTACAAGAGACAGTAGCCGGACAAACAGCACACCAATCATAGGCCCAACCAAGCTCTGATACCAAGTTGAAAAGCCCAGCCCACACTTCTCCTTAAACCAAGGTATTAAGGAGAGAGAAACTAGAGCCTTATAACTAACACAGATGGGGCAACTCCAGGCGATGTGGGACACATTTCAACAAAAAGAACCCCACTTAGTGTAGCCATCCCTGAAGCCACCTCCAACCACCTCCTCGCCACCACCCCTCCCCTGCTCCCTCTCCAAAAGGTTCATCTCTACTTTGGATCCACTTCTTGTTTTTTATCATTATTGTCGTTTTGGTACATTTTGGTATAAATGAAATTGAACCACGGTTGAGAATCACTAGGTTTAGAGATGGGTATGGTAATCCTAGTGATTGAATTCAACCTACAATCTTTTCTATAATGGTGCATGGGGTGCTGATGGATTTGTGTGCTTTGGATGATTTGGTTATAGAGTTGGTTAAAGTTACTATATGTTAGAGACGATATTTCCAAATTGGTAGCTAGAATTGAGTCGCGGGTTTCAATTTGAACTTGAAGATGGTAAAAATGGAGAACATTTTCGGAGGAACTAGAACATAGCACATTCACTATGTGGGAGGGACTACTGGGGTGAGATTTTTAGAGACTAAAATGAGGACATACAAAGAAGGGCGAGCGAATGGTGTTGGAGTGGCTTTTGTAGAAATATCCTCCTCAGATTAGCCAGATTAATCCCAAAGATGATCACATTTCTTTCCAAGTACCTCTCTCCGTATTTGTATTGTGTATGTGTGTGTACAATAAACTATTCACCGCTCTATATATATATATTTGGTAAAACTTATTGGAGTTGGTTATAGCTTTTTTTATTTAAAATTTGTGCTAGAGTGTTTGGTGAAGCTTTTGTTTATAGGTTATGAGACAGAAATAACTTAAATAAGTTGAAAAAAGTTGATTATTTGAAAATTGAGGGAGGAGTGCTTTTAGGTTTTGCTTTTTGATTATCAACTTTTAGCTTGTTATAGTCGCACTGACAGACCCATTATGTTTATATTAAACAATGTGTATATTTTAGTGTAATTATTTTAAATTAGAAATGAATTTAAAAAGTTAAAAACAAGATTAAAGAAATTAGGTGAAAATTAGTTGTCTAACATAAGAAAAAGAAGGAAAAAGGAAATTGATATGTATTAAGGTCATTTTATATATTTCTTTTAACGGTGTTAGCATTGCACTTTATTTCAAAATCACATTATGGGTAATTGACTATTTTAAAAAAAAGGCATGGAGGTAAAGTACTCCAGGCTTAACTAGAGAGGGGTAAAATGAATTCTGCCCTAATATTTATATGGGCAGATGAAAGTAGAAGTAATAAGAAACTTTTGAAGTCCTCCATTTTGTTGTGCTGGATCAAAATTGTACCATGCTTTTTATCATATAATTTTTCTAGCGTACTAGCAAACTGTTTACTATAGGTTTTTAAGGGCTTTTTGATTCTATCTAAAATAATATGCCCCTCATTATGTACCCCATGAAGGCCAAAAAGTTAAATATGGCGGACCATTTTCTTATTGTTGCATGACTGCAATTTGATAAATATTATGTTAAAATTTGTTCACATTGAAGTCATCAAGAGTGGAATCGCAATTAACCAGGAAAAAAAAAATTACAACACAAACTCACCTCTATTGCTTGTGGGCTGTGGCTAAAGTGGAAAGCAAGTTGACATATTTCAGTTCATACCATTTCGAACTCTAATGTGGGGTAGTTAGACCTATATTGAGCCCACTCATGCATGATGCGACTTACAATTTTCTTAACTGTGGCTAATCTTCAATTAAATAAAAGCAATTCAACCAAAGTTAGAAGACTAGAAGTTCAATTGAATCTCAAGTCCTTTGACAGGCTAGAATCAGCTCTTCATTTTTTCAATGTAGCTCCTGGTTCTGTACTTAGTGGTCCAAGTGTATTAATTGTGGTTCTGTAAGGAGATCGAACAAAGAAGTTCTGAGCAGCTATTATTTAACTTATTGTCGTAATACCAATCACTGTGGATTTCAAATTCAATTTTCAGTATTCATTTGCTTATACAGAGGTATTATGCTTTCCCTGTACCATGTATTGGTTATAATTTGCATCAGCTATTGTTTGTTTAACTTGTGATCTAGGCTTTGCAGCAGTTTGGTTCAGACATATCAATGATACAACAGCTTTTTCCTGGCCGGACGCGTAGCCAAGTCAAGTTGAAATATAAGAAAGAAGAGCGAACCCTCAATGGAGCTTGAGGCTTCATGATGCTCTAACTAATCGTGCCAAAGGTGAAATTCTGTTCTCTCTCGCTCTCACACACACACAGACATGCACACGCATGCACTCTCACACACCTTTTGATGCTCTCTCTCTCTCTCTCTCTCTCTCTCTCTAATACACACACTACCATGCAGATATGCATTTGCACACAGACACCTGCACGCCCCAAAAGTTTCTTCAAAATTTGTTTTTTGCTAATTCTAATGGTACAATGCTAGTTTTGGAGCTGATTGTTAGGGGGAGAAAAGGTTTTGGTGGATGTTTATTTGGTAGTGTGTTGGTGGTGGTTTTAGATCGCTTAGTGGTCTGATTATGGAAACTGGTGGTGATTCAGGTGGAATTGGTTGTAGTTAGGTTTTGTATGGGTGCTTGCGTTGATTGTGTGGTTTAGGTTCAATATGGATTAGTAGAGGAATGACCAGATTTAATTTGTTGTATCAAGGTACTAAAATCAGCAAAGTAAAGAAAAAAATTAACAACTTCAATGAGGTGCATTGTTGTAGCACTGATTCCTTGATGGAAAGTTATTTGGTGGTGGTTCCTTTTCTGAAGCGGCCAGCCCCAGGAGAAGAAGGGGGCTGGTCGCGAAGCTGGAAATTTCTATCAAAGAAAATGCTTGGTACAACAGGAATTTGGCACATTATTCCACCATGATCTGCTGCTACTAACAATATAGCTATATTCTGGCAAAAAATAAACCATCATGTTTTGGTGAACAAATTGCTGGATTTTGTTGTAGATTTATTTACAGAGTATTATGCATGGGTGATCTACTGTATCATGATTAATCAACAGCAGAAAAGTAACAGGTTTAGCAAGAACAGATTGGTCTATTTGATGGCAATTAAAAGCCAGATATAAACTATGTTCTGATCCAAAATGGATTCATCATGTAGAGGGGAGTAGCTTGAGAAGGGGCTATACTCCTGAGCAACGAGCATTATCCCATTTTTTCAAAGCCAAGGTCTTTTGTGTTGAGTTGAGTTGAGTATTATCTTATTATCATTATTTATATTGTTGTCAGCGGATATGATTGAGTTTCATCCTTGCGCAAAACCAGCCCAATTTTTTGATCCTACTACATGCCTGTGTGATATTTCACTGTGACCTTAACTAGGTTGCTGCTCAAAGTAAACATTTTTTAGTTTTTTCTACCTCCCCTCTCTCTCCCTCCCTTTTCTTCTTCTTGGAATGACGAACATGCTAACCCTAAAACTATAGGTTTTGATCTTTTAATAAATACAATAACTTTTGTTGGAATAAATGAAATAACATTAAAGATTTTGCACAAAAATATTGGGAGTGTGAATTCTGAATGTTTCTGGTTTTAAAAAAATTATGTTTCTAATAGATCAATCAGAAAAAAGAAGAAGAAGAAGAAGAAGAAGAAGAAGAGAGATGTGAAAAAACAACTTCAGTTGTAAAGTGTAAATTTGGTTATAATTTTCATGAGTATGTTCTCAACTGTGCAATGACAGAAAACTGAAACGAATCTGAGCAATACTCTGTTTCTAAAGATGAGAAGATGAAAGCTGCTTACGGTTGGAGCTTAACTAAACAAATACTAGTAATTGAATTTGTGGATATTCAAGTTTGAATATTTTCTGAGCCAAGTTTTAAATAATAGGAACCTTTTTAAGGAGAAAAATCTTTCTTTTCTATTGAACTGATTGAGGATATAGTCAGTTTAGTTACATGAATATTCATCATTACTTCATTTAATTCCTTCAGGTTTTTTATTGGTCTATTTTGATTGTTGGGGGATTGGGTTGGTGGAGTTAGATTTGAAAGGGAGACTGCCTAATCATTTCTAGTAGAATGTGATGCTTCATATCACAACCTCATATTTGGATAGTTGGCTGCATCAACCATTATTAAATGTTTGATATTGTTTTTGAAACAGCATCTGAAATTTTTTGCTTTGTTTGTTTGTGTTTTCCTATAAGGGAGTTTGTTTTTAGAAAATTTTCCTAATAATAGTTTTCAAAAACTATTCACGAAACAAGTTTATTGTCTCCATTCTGATTGTTCTATTTCTGCTTGCTTGTCTAAAACATGCATCTAGTTCAGTAGGGCTTTGTGGATCCACCATATGTCACCAAGATGCAGATACAAGTAGAATGCGTGCACGGATGGCCCAACCCTCAATGGAGCTTAAGGAAAAATCTTAATGAGAGGCCTTCTTTAACATTTAAATAATATTTTATAATTTCCTATATTATAACTTTATAATGTAATTTTTTTTCTTTTATTCTTATAATTAAATTTTGTGGCTATTCATAGCCTTTACTAAGTTTTTCTTTTTTCTTTTTAATTTTTTAAAATATGATCTTTGGACAAGGAAATTTTGTTCTTTATTGGGCTTTTGGACAAGGAATGTGCTAGAAATTTGTGTTAATAAGATAGTGGCATATGATAGTGGTGTTGGTGGCATATAGTGGCATGTATAGAATATGATAGTGGTGTTGGTGGAAGATAGTGGCATGTATATAATATGATAGTGGTAGATAGTGGTAATATATAATAGGTAAGTGGCATATAATGGGTTATAATGATGTTTTTAATATCTCCTATATAAGGAGTGTCATTTGGTCTTGTAAGATAAGAAGTTTTGAATATAACAGAAATATATTCCTTCTTCATATTTTCGGAGTTCTTCTTCCTCATATTTTCTAAGTGAATGTTATTTTAAGTTTTTACTAGCGATAGCTTTTGAACAAAGAAGGTTTTTATCAGGTGTTATTATTGGGGGGCCTGTGGACAATGAATGTATTGGGGGGCATGAATGTATTTTTATTTTCTGTTGTGCCTTTTGGCAAATATTTTTATTTTATTAGGCTTTGTACTAGGTTTGTTTGGGTATGTCTTTTCCCCCAAGTGATGGACAAAAAACTTTAAAATTTAGGGCTTTTGAAAAAATGGGGTCTGTCTGAGGCATGGCCATAATGGATTACTGTTGTGCCGGCACTGAATGCATGTATGCAGTTTCTTCTATATTTCATGCCAAAATGAAGTCTGAAGTGATAGCTGTACAACTCCAATTGGGTGTTTTATTAGATGATATATGGTGGGTTGGTGTGCTTGGAAATCAATTGATAATATGACTTTTTCTTGCAGATCATTCCCATTTTCAAGTGGTGATTGAATTCTTGCAACAACTTGCTGCCAAGGACAAACAGAATTCTTGCATGGATGACTCAATTTGCTTGACAGGAGTCGAGGAAGAGAAGGTGAAGCATGAAATTAATGTTTGCGTCTTTTGTTCTTTGCTTACTTTCTTATCTGTGCAAATTTCTTGTAAATGCTGTTATGCGTTGGGAAAATTTTGTTTCTCCATTGTGCAGACCATTATATAGATTGTTGTACCTCTAATAGATTCTTAATTTGTTGTATGCTTGGTTAGTTGATCTCATGCAAGGCAGCTATGTGGTGAGTTGATTGAGATGATGAGGTAGCATTGGAATATTTGTTTTATTTTTACTACATTTTATGGTGAAATTTATGAAAGGATTTGGAGAAAGTTATGCATCAGCTTATCAGTTAGTAAACACCTCCAAGGCTGCAACGGTGGTCGGATGTGTTCCTCAGGTACAATGAGGGTACAGAGCATAACACACGTCTTTGTCATGGTTCAGAGTTGTCTTCATGTGGATATCTGTTTTTGTAAGACCGGTTAACGTGCAAGTCTGTTTAAGGAGAATTGAACGAGTCACCTTGACAAACCTTCTACTATAGCCACCAAACCACAAGGCTCCAGTGATCCCGTGTGTGTCGTGGTGTTGCTTGAGCACTCCATGTCCTTCACCTGAACCTTGAGGGGTTGCCTAAGCCAAGCTCTAGACCTGGGTTAGTGAAGAAACATGGGGCCTTTAGAGAACCAAGTGTAGGCCATAGGAGAAGTACACTCAAGTAGAGAATCTGTTTGGCTAGGCTGAAAGAAGTCTGAGTATATTGGTGCAAGTGGACATGGACGAACTCGGATGGACAGTTTGCCCGAGTAAAGGAAGGAGGATCAAGTGCCCCTAGGAGGTTCTTCAGTGGTTGCCTCATGGATACCTTAGCCTGAGGCTAAGGCAGCACATGGATGCAGAACAAGTGACAAATTCCTGTTGGTCCTGGTGCTACCTTACGACGCTGAGACACTGAACCAAGGCTAGTGAAGGAGATGATGTGGTGCTAACTTGGCTTACCACGTGGGCACATGGGCCGACCTACCTAAACTCATCCCCAACCATGATTTAAGACTCACCTACAAGAAAATGTGTCAAATCTGGAATTCTGCACTGAGCATGCTTTAGCAGACTTTTAATCTTTTTTTTCTCTCCAAGTTGTCTTTAATGTCTTCCATAGATCAGCTGCTATTGCTATAGCTTTATTAGATTTTAGGAGTCTTGGATATATTGATAATTTTTAGATTTTCTACATAGGCTACTGTAAAGTGTCCGTGGGTCATATTATGGGCCAAGTGGTATAAATTTGGGAGGTCTTTTCAGCAATGTATAGAGTTGGTTTCTTGTATATATGTTGTGTGTACATGGGTTATTCCTCCTTTGGCAAAGTGGTTTAGAATGTAGGGTATTACTGAATTGGTTTTTCATGCTTTTATGGCCTATTTTGATTTGACTTCCGTTTTCTTTTATATTGACACATTTGTGGTTAGTCATCATGCTTCATTGACAACTGTTCTGTTTTGATGCAGTCCTTTTTCTATTCTTTGGTAAATGAACACCTAGTATAGTGCATAAATGTGAGGATTTTATTTATGTTACCTTTACACGTGTTATGCCTCCCTGAAAAAGAAGCGTAAAATGCTTGATGCGACTAAATTAGATTTTCATGCTTATGTGGGATTGTGATTCGACTTTCCTGATGGATAGTATTCAGGGATATGTTTAGTTCTGGTGCAATATTTTTCTGATATTTTTTTAAATATGAGCATTTAGTGTTCAAGAGTTCTTTTTGGCCTTATATATCGTGGATTTCTTATGCATATTTTGCACGAACATGTGTTGTGCCCATGGTCCCATTAATAAAGAAAAGTATAAATCCTGGTTAAAAACTAAATTGGCTTTTTCGTGCTTGTGCAGCCTCTTGTGTTTTGCTTTCCTATACATCAGTGCGCTTACAGCATGTAACATAAATCTTCAGTCAAAGTCTGGTAGTGTAGTTAGTTTAATGTAGTTTTTTTTTTTTTTTTATAATTATTATTATTATATTTTATTGCTTGATTGTCACTTAGTTAATGTGTTGATGTGCACAGGAGGAGGAAGTAGCAAAATCTGAGCAGGTAGAGGGAGGACAAATTGAAGCTATGGAACCGGATGTTTCTGAAGGTGAGATTCCCTTGAAGTCTTCTGATAGTGAGGATGCCTTGTGCGGATGGAGTCAATATAAAAGTGAATTATAATGTCGAAAGACAAAGATGCTGACTTTTCTTGTTTCTATTGATTAGTCCTTTATCAAATTAATCTGAAATTTTGTCCTTCGTTTTTAAATGTGCTTTAACATTGTTCTCCCTGGAGTTTATGCTATAGCTTTTATCATCCAATTGAAACTAATTCAACCCTGAAGTTGTACAATTTTTGTTTTTCACTCACTAAAAGAACTGCTTAACTGTCGAATTTCATAATCTCTCTCTCTCTCTCTCTCTCTACCTTTGTGAAAATTTATACATATTGTATTGTCCTAGGAAATGGGTATATTTCGTGCCTATGAAAACATAACTCTGAAGTTTCAATTGATTTTTTGAATAGGATTAGACATTTCGATCCGTATGATTGTGGAGATGGTGTCTTCTCACAATGGTTAGTGGTTGCCTTTTCGTGTCTTCTCACTGAACCAGAATGAAGGAATGCTATCACCTTTCTGATACATATTTCTTTAAAATCTTGTTTTAGTTTTGATGATGTGTTTTTTTCCATTAAGTTAGAGATTATGTTGAGCACTTGAAACCATCCTTCTAAGCCAGGTGGCTTCTTAGAGCACGATCTGTAGTCGGTGAAGTACCTATTTTCACTGTTCTTTTGAATTTTTTTATTTTTATTTTTATTTTTATAATTACATTGACAGATTATCCGAACCTACGGGAGGGGATGAGGTGATATTGTCATGTGGTATCACTGTTATACCTAATATTTGTTCTAGTGACAGGATTGAAAGCCCTGAATATGAGGTTGGCTATACAGGGCCTTGCCCATTGAGGCAAGTCGTCACTTTTAACTAGAAGTGTAAAAATAGCCCGCGGCTCAGGATGGGCTTGACCCGCTTAAGCCTGTTTAGGCCCGGGTCTAGGCCATCATTTTGAAGCCTGACTCGGCCTGTGTGGTCTTACCTATCAGTCCGCTTAAGGTCTACTCAAAGCCCGACCCGAGGCCCGGTGTCTTTTTTAGTAAAAAATAATAAAATTTTGGTAAATTTTTTTTTTTTAAAAAAATAAACCCGACTAAAGCTCGAGGCCAGGCCCACTAGGCCGGCTTGAGGCTCGCCCTGCTCCACCCAAGGCCCGAATACCCCTAGGCTTGGGTTTGGGCCTAAGCCTAATTTTTTTGTTTGTGGGCCGGCCCGAATTTTGGCTGGAGCCGGTGAGGCATGACATGAGCTGGACCAAGTCAGATTTACACCCCTACCTTTAATGTAGTTTAGAGTCTATCTGGAAACGTTTATATTTATAGTTTCTTTATATATATATATATATATATTACACTAGCTTACGTCTATACCTGAAGGCACGGTATAAATAAAAATCACAAAAGTTATATCTGTTACCCAAAAGACAACCTAAGAGAGGGAATGAATTAGGTTTTTATAAATAAAAATAATAATATCCTAATAAAAATTATGATTAGCACAATAGATAAATATAGTTAATGAAATAGAAATAATTAAAACAAATTTTTTAACAACTATGTCAGTTAATGATTTTAGCACAGTGAAAATGTGAAATATAGTTATGACAATTTAAATAAAATAAAGAGATAAGGGAGAGAGACAAACAAATTTATAGTGGTTCGGCTTCAACTTGGCCTACGTCCACTTCTCAAGCTTTACTTGAGATTTTTCACTATACTCTAGCTTCACAGGGTGTTAGCAACTTTTTCACAGATGGAGCAATCCTTCACAGATTTTGCACAGACTTTCTAAGTCAAGAACACAGAGTGTATTACAATTTTACAAGGTTGAAAAGAAGGTGTTTTTGCTTTCACAGAAAGTTACAAGAATTATCTCTTAAAGATAGATATAAAAATGAAATTCTGATTTTTCTGTAAACCTTATACAGGAAAGATGGGCTTAAAGTTATACGTCTCAGTGTATAATTTTTGAAAGAGGATGTAAACAAAAAATTGAAGGACACTTCTCAGAGAATTTTTCAGAGATTAGATGTGAGTGATTATAGATCAAAGAATATTTTCGAGTTTTTTTTTTATAACTTGTTTACATTAGAGGCTTTGGTATATATAATGAAACTTATAGCCGTTTATAGCTGTTATATTCATTTAAATATCTTTCACTCCATCATTACTAATTTGAATGTCTTTCACTTGAACCTTTTGGCCTTCTGCTGGGCTAGGCTGGGCTGTTTGAACTTTTGTTTTGGATTGTTTGAACTTTTGATTTAATCAAATATTAAATACATTCTAACAACATTTAGGATACAAGTTTTAAGTAAGAAATAATAGGACAAAATAAATTTTGATTCTATTTTTCTCTTTCAAATAAATTAAAACATAAAATCATCAAAAAAAAATGTTGATTCTATTTTTCTCTTTCAAATAAATCATCAAAATAAATTTTGATTCTATTTTTCTCTTCCAAATAAATTAAAAACATAATTAAATAAATAATCAAAATCAATAAGTCTAACAATCTCTCTTTTTTTGATGATAGCACACAATGATGTTTTGATTTGATTTGGGAGTAAGAAAAGCTCCCCCTCAAGTCATGCTCCCTGAATTTATTTCTAAGTATATAGGTTAGCACATGTGTAATAAATAAGTTTTAATTAGAGACATGATATGAGACTAAGATATCAAACTATAAATACATAATCATCATATTAGTTTTCAAATAATACCATAATTTGAAAATAATACCATAATACATAACATCATAACAAAATAATACCATAATACATAACATCATAACAAAATAATACCATAATAGATAACATCATATAATTTCTCCCCCTGTGACATTATCAAAAGGAAATCATGGGTTAGAATCTGGAGGAGGAGGAGGAGGAAAATGATAGTGATAAATGACATCTATACAATTCAAAACATATATATACGATTCGCGCGCCTTTCTCTTTTCCGTCAAAAATCGCATAAGACACGCGTCATCCCTTTTGCGTCAGCCGACCGACAAAAGCGAGACGGGCCAATCAACGGCTTCGGCTCTCTCTCCTTCTTATCTTCTTCTCCTCCGTCTTCTTCTTAGTCACTATTTTCTCCGTCTTCTTTCTCATTCGCTGCCATCTCTTCTTCTACGTGAGAGAGATAGAACAGAGAAACCGAACAGAGCAAAAAGGCTACCACAAACGACCCTCTTGTCGATTACAGCTCTCTTTGTTACTTCATTGCCTTGTCTCGTCCCCTTACTCTCTTTCCGAACCTGAATAATCCCGTCAGCGCTGCTGGGCCAAGTGCCACAGCTCCTACTTTTCCCAACTTTCCTATGATGTCGATTGAGCAAATAATGGCAGCTCAATCGGACATTGAAGCTAATCATTTTACACTGACGTCCTGTATGGAGACGGTGACTGCAGTCACAAAATTGGCTCACTGACTGCAGAACAGGACGAGTGAGCTCCACCAGGTCAACGCCCAACTCTCGTTGCTCCAGCGTATATACAAGGATACGCGAGCAGAGATTTGCACACTGAAGGCCGAAAATAAAGAGCTTAAATGGAAGACCACCTCCATGACCCAATTTGGAGCAACGTCATTCTTGGCTTTTGATAGTCAGCGGGAAGTCGTCACTTTCGACAAAAGCATGGGGGCAGGGCCTTCAAGGGCCTCCCAAGGTGATAAAAAGAAGAAGAAAACGATGGAAGAGGCGAGAAAGTAAGATCGGCCTATGGCTGTAAAAAAAAATGAAGGGTTTGTTTTTTTTTTTTTATGTAAATATTTGTATTTTGATTTGTTTTTGTTTCTATGTTTAAGTATTGAAAAATGAAATTTAAAAGCAAAAAAAAGAAAAGAAAATTAAGCCCAAACAAAAAATAATAATGAGAAAAAGAAATAAAGCCTAATAGCAAGATAAAAATAAATAAATTAAAATAAACTAATACCAGCAGAAATTAAACTTAATGGGACGTTGGTGTTGCTGGAATAGTAATGCAAAAAAAATACCATGAGGGTTTAAAAAAAATCAATGTATGCAAAGTTAATTTTACCTCAAGATGCAGAATCAAAAAAAAAAAATTACACAGTTGAGAATAGCAAACTGTTAAGGAGAATAAATGTATGAAGGACTTGAGAGCATTTAACTGATGTAAATGTTTCCATATCAATGTAGCAATACACATATATCATTTTAACAAAAATTTAAATTTCACAGTCATAACAAAACTTTTTAAGTAGAAATTGACATTTCAAGCTCGTTATGAATAATTTGAAGCGATCCTCGCTTAAGGATTTTGTGAAAATATCCGCCAATTGCTTGTCGGTGTTTACAAATTCGAGTACAATATCTCATTTTTGAACATGATCTCTTAAAAAATGATATCGAATTTCAATATGTTTTGTTTGTGAGTGTTGAACCAGATTTTGGCTTACATTGATGGCACTAGTATTATCACATTTAATAGGGATATGATCATAATGCAAATCAAAGTCTTCCAATTGTTGTTTCATCCAAAGTATTTGGGCACAACAACTTCCGGAAGCTATATATTCAGCTTCGGCTGTTGATAAAGTAACAGAATTTTGTTTTTTGCTAAACCAAGATACTAATGAGTTACTAAGAAAGTGACAAGTGCCACTGGTGCTTTTTCTATCAAGTTTGCATCCGGCAAAGTCGGCATCCGAGTAACTAATTAAATCAAATGCAACACCTCTAGGATAAAACAGTCCCAAATTTTGAGTGCCAACAAGATATCTAGAAATTCTTTTAACAGCACTGAGATGTGATTCCTTAGGATTTGATTAATATCTAGCACGCATACAAACACTAAATATAATATCGGGTCTACTTGTAGTTAAATAAAGAAGTGAGCCGATCATACCTCGATATTTTGTTTGATCAATGGACTTACCTTTTTCATCCTTGTCTAGCTTAATGGATGTGCTCATAGGTGTTCCAGCTATTTTTGAGTCATACATACCAAACTTTTTGAGTAGTTCTTTTGTGTACTTAGCTTGGTTGATAAAAATTCTTTCTTTACATTGTTTGATTTGAAGCCCAAGAAAATAATTTAGCTCCCCCATCATGCTTATCTCAAACTCACATTGCATACACTTAGCAAATTCCTTACACAAGGTTTCATTAGTAGCAC